TGAGCTGGCCACACACACACACAATAAATAAATGTAATAAATAAAAAAATAAATAAATATTTAAAAACACACACACACACACACACACACACACAAAAAAAAGAAAAAAGAAAGAAAAGAAAAAACAAAAAAGAAAAAAGACAATGATTCAGGCAAAAGGAATAGCAGAAAGCTGTCTGGTCAGCAGCTGGAAATCAACACGGAAGCCAGTACATGGATGGGGAAGATGAGAAAGTTACTTGTAACCAGCAATGAAAGAAAGAAAGAAAAAGACTAACAGCGATTACATGAATTGATTTGAGTTGGTGAGAAGTCAAATACCCTGAGATTCTATGCTTAGGCATCCAAGAAGATAAGGAACACAGGTGGGAACAGCGAGGGGATGAGGTTAGACTGCAAGCTGGAGGAACGGGAGAGAGGTGGGCCCCTTCCTGCCTGTCCCGAAGGGCAGGGCCTACAGCGCTACCACACAAGGCAGATTAACGAGAAAAAACACAATAAACCCATTAATGTGGAATGGAAAAAAAAAAAAAAATGTGGAATGGTACAAAATATGTAATTGACAAGAAAGGCTAGGTGGCTGCAGCTTGCTCTTTTTCCCAAGAGACTGGGTGACAGGGCAGGCCCAGAATACAATTCTATTACACACATAAAAGGCAAACTGTGTTATAACTGTCTCCCAGAAAATCTCCAGATGCCCAGGAGGATAGCTGAAAGTCTATCTGGGTATGGACTTTGGTCTATCCTCTCAGTGATTAATCCTTCCTACTTAGTTGATGAGATTCCTAGGGAGAGAGCTTTAAACAATTGCCATTTCTTTTGGGGACATTTTTCTTGGTGTGCTAAGAGCAGCTCTTGGTGTTTAGGAAAGGAAGGGGGTATCAGGAAGGCCTGGAGTCTGAAACTTCCTTCAGCTGAGCTTGTCAAAGTACCCTTTGGGTGTCATCTTCTAAGCCCAAACAGCACTTTCGAGCTAAACCAGAAATAGACCATGAGCACATGGAGGTCATAAATCCAAATTCTTGTGATTAGATGATTTAGAACAAAATGTTGACAGGATGTATGCTAATCATTTCCTGGTGAAAGACTCATCAGAATCTTGAGTCTTGGCTCCTCGATAACTAAACACGGAACTCTTACGAGAAATACTTTTTTATCTTGGTTGAATGGATCAGCTAAACTCTGGGAAAGTGGTCCCACCCTGTGATATTCTAACCAAGAAAAAGGTTTAAAATCCAGCCCCAAGGCTGCAGCTGTCTTGCTCTCATGCCCTGTGGGTGTCCTATGTGTTCTCTGCTGCGCCCTCAGGCAGCCACCACACTCATCTCTGTGAACTGATCATGGCTGTTTTCACTTCATAAGACTATTTTTGGATGGTATTAGGGCTGACAGGCAAGCGCTCTCCCACTAGGGTCCTCTTTACTTTTTAAACTTTCAGACGGGGTCTTGCTATGGTGATCCTTCCGCCTTAATCTCCCAAGTAGCTGGGATTACAGGTATGTGCATGCAGCTCCCCTTTGTGCTCCTGTTCAGACTGCTACAGCTTCAGTCCATTTCTGAAGTGCAGAAAGACATCCAACTTGTGTCTCTGAGGTTGTAGCGTCTTACGTTTACAGACAATTAGAGATGGCTTCCGAAGCACTTATAGACAAAGCACAGTGTCATGAAGCAGTCAGAGCAAGCTTCATCCCCATTTTATAGATGCCAGAAGGTTAGTAAAGGGCAAGTCCATCCTCCAACCTGATTTCACTTTAAAGGGCTCAGTCCTTTGATGAGTAAGAACTCACTAATATCTGTGAACTGAATTTCTGCAACCTGTGAGGGAATCACATTTTGAGTAAGAGGAGCGTCCTGTGCTTGGGAAACACTGGTCTACCAGGGCCTCTGAAGAGTACATGCAGCTGGGCGTGGGAGTGCACACCTGTAATCCCAGCACTGGGGAGGCTGGGACAGGAGGGTCACCCTGAGTTTGAGACTAGCCTAGGGTACAAAGTGAGCTCAGAGATGCCTCAAAAAAAAAAAAAAAAAAAAAAAAAAAAAAAATATAAAAAAGGGACAAAAAAAAAAACATGATCTAAGATGGCAGCAGTACAACATTCCCCTTTCTTCCATCTGTTTAAAGACAGATGCTGTGAAAGCAAAGAACTACTTTTTGGGAAACTCAGGGAGAAAAACAAATGCAAAAGTTCATTTCTGTAAGTCTCACCATCAATCTACTCTATACTCCCAAAAGATAACTTCATCACTGCTAGTCTCAGTTTCTTTGTGGGTAAAACATGCAACAGCTGGACCTGCTGCATTGAATTCTGGCGAAGATAAAACACAAACAAACAAACAAACAAACAAAATAAAGATACACAGTAATATAGTCTACAAAAAAAAAGGTAACATACACCAAGTATTTACCACTCAAAACTTGTCTGTACGTGGGGAACAAAAACACTGATCCTGCGTTCTACCTCCATTTGCTCTGGATTAGTTGGCCTAGGTGTGGCTTGGGCTCTGTAATTAAAGAGTCTCCAGATGGTTCTAAAATACAAATACATTTAGGAACAGATTCTGCACAGTGACACTGCAACAGATAGGAATTATTGTTTTGAAATCCCATCATCCACCCAACTCAGCACACTCTGTTCCCTTGCGTTGTGAAAAAACTTCCAAAGTTTTCAGGCCGGCGCGATGGCTCAGTAGACTAAGCGCTTGCCTGGCAAGCACAAGGGCCTGAGTTCAATCCCCGGTTCCGCCAGGAAAGAAGAAGAAAAAAAAAAAAGAACAAAGTTTTCAATACTAAAGGCTATGTTACAACTAAGTCTCGTATATTAGGGCTCAGAAGTATACTCGACAAAGAAAAAAATGAGGTCTGAAAATCAGAGAACAAAGAGGTCTGAAATATCGAGAGCTACACGTTCTGTGACACTTAGAAGGCGATGTCAAATCCCCAATTAATGCTTAAATTCAACACCTGTCTCATCCACGCGATGCCCTGCACCGGATGCTTCTGGAATCTGTCCACTTTAAAAGCAAACGCACTGGGCCCTACGATACCCCTGAGGATAGCGAACGGAGGGGTGAAGAACCTAAATGCGGGGAGCGTCCGAGATGCAGCGTGCCGAGGCGGACGCTAGGCGCGCAGGTGGCGCCGGGAGCCAGGCCTCGGTCCCACCTGGAGGCCCGCGTGTCCCGCCCGCCCCCAGTCCGCGCGGGCGGCTCACACTGCAGGATGATCTCCTCGAACGCCTGCCTCTGCAGCCGGTCGCGGCGCCTCAGCTCCTCCGCGATGTGGCGTTTCCAGCGAGGGAAGTCGGCTGCACGGAGACCCGACGACATGTTGCACGCTGCTCCGGTGCGTCAGCGCCGCGGATCCGAGTGGAGTCTGGCGGCCGCTGCATGCACCATGTGGCGAAAAGGCCGGCAGCTCCAGCGTTCACCCCCACACACAGGCCGCTGGAAAGGCCAACCAGGACGTTCTTCCGGCAGCCGCCGGAAATAGCTTTGGGAGGAACAGGAAGTCCCGCCTCCTCGTTGCGTACGCCAACGCAAGCACGCGACCGCGGCAGTCTCAGGGCGCTCGCAGTGACGTCAGCTCCCAAAGCCGGATGCGTCGTTGCAGAGAGATGGCCGCTGGGGGGCGCTTTGGCAACGCAGTTGGACCAGTTCTGGCTGGCAGGAAACAGAAAAGGAGGCACTGCCGCCTACGCTTTTTCTTGTCTTTTTTCTCGGTCTACCGCCTTTTACTTCATTTACACAGTTTTCAACCAGAAGCAGAAGCCACACCCCACGAAGTAGCTGGGTGCTTGAGGATGAGTGACAAACTCCCAAAGCTTCAGTTTTCTGATCCATAAGATGGGGACAATCATGGTACCTACCTAACACGGTTGTGGCGATGACTAAAAAGCAAAACCTGAGCAAGGCCCTTAGCACTGTGCCTGGCTCAAGTCAAGCCTCATTTTACCTGCACACCAGGTGTCCAAAGGGCTGGCTGAGGCACATCAGGATGTGGCCAGTCAAGTCAGGACAATCGATCACTGCCGAAATGCATGCTCAGAGCAGCTTGAAAGGCCTTCGTGGGACTACCCGGTCCTGACCTCACAAGAAGATAGAAAAACGGTGGCCAGTGACTTCACTGCCACTGCCCGTTTGCTCTGGCACTGGCCTGTGCGTGCAGGACATATCCTCAAAGCACTTCTTTTGTCTTTCTTGTTACCTTTAAATAGATGTTAAACTTTCAAGTTCATGGATTGTCCCATTCAGTTCCTTGAACGGGGCAAGGGCCCTAGAACTGCTGGACTCACCCCTTTCGGACTACGTGGCTGCTTTAGTTTAGCAAAATCATCCCACCAGCCACCAACTGTGGAAGCAAGCTTTTTCAATTTTTTTTTTGTTTGTTTGTTTTTTCGTTTCTGATTTTTGTTTGTTTCGAAGTGAAAGGGTAGAATGATGTGAATAGTGTATCCATTTGTGTTTATCGTTAGAACCCTAGAAATGATGGCCTAACTGTCCTCATAAATGTGTCTTTAAAAAATAATCTAATACAGGGACTGGGGTTCAATCCCCAGTACCTCGTGCTTCGTGGGCCCCACCCCCAGTTGCACTGAGCCACTGAGTCCCTGCATGTTGGCGCATACCTGTAATCCCTGTGCTGGGAAGGCCGAAAAGAGGAGGACCACTACAAGTCTGAGCTGTGTAGTGAGGCCTGTACCAAATGTATATATATATATATATATTTTAAGTAGTCTAATAAACCGGACATGGTAGTACATGCCTGTAATCCCATACTGGGAAGCTGAGGCAAGAGGATCACAAATCCGTGACTAGCCTAGGTGGTGTGGGGAGACACTGTCTCAAAACATAAGGGGCTGGAACTGGAGCTCAGTGTGAAGGCCCAGTGTTCAATTCCCAGTATTGAAAAGGGAGGAGGGAAATGGGAGACACAGGGCCCTCTGTGTGAACTCCATCTGCCCTTAACAGTTTAGTGAATGCATTGGAAGAAATTAGAGCAGGACAAAGACTGGAGAAGATGAAAAGAGTGTCAGAAATCGTCTTCTAAGGTCAAGTCTGGAGGAAGATCCTTCTTGGATAGAAAACGTGTACACCAGAATGACCTAAAGCAAACAAGTGAAAGGCCAGAGAAGGCCAAAATGGAAGTAACTGCTGCACACCCTGCAGAAAATGAGGAAGCACTCCCAGTACATCAAGAAACTTCAGCTGTGGTGGTACAGCCTGTAATCCTTGCATTTGGGAGACTGGGGCAGGAGGATCATTGCAAGTTCGAGACCAGCCTGGGCTATAAAGTGTGCTCAAGGCCAGCCTGAGCTGCATAGTGAGACCCTGTCTCGAAAAGATTTTTTTTTAAAGTTGTTTATAGTACAAGTAGTACATGATCTAAATGCAATTTGGGAAAATCAGGTGTTCCTTGTACCTCCATTCATTTGTTGATTGGAGAGTAATTTTTCTTTTATAAATACATTTTTGAGACAGAGTCTCACAATGCAATCCAGGCTGCCCTTGGGCTCACTTTGTAGACCAAGCTGGCCTTGAACTTGCTGTGATCCTCCTGTCTCAGCCTCCTGAGTCCTGAGATTACAGGTGTGTGCAAGCATACCTAGCTGAATGAAGAATAATTTCTAACCTCAGGGTACTAAACTCTGCCAGATGTGCCCTCTTCTAATCTACTACTTTCCCTGGCACAGGACTGCAGCCACACCAAACCCCTTCCTTCCCTCTGCCAGCTGCTTGTTTGTTTTGTTTTGGGGTTTTTTGGCATTTTGAGACAAGGTCTTTCTATATAGCCCAGGCTGGCCTCAAACTCATGGTAGTCCTCCTGCCTTAGCCTCCTGAGTGAATTATTGGTTCATTCCTCTGAGTTAATTCTCAGTTCAGTAGTTACTTCCGAAAGCCCTGCAGATGACAGAGCCTCACCTCAAGCCTGGGTTGGCTTTCGCCGCTCCCTTGCCTGGTGTCTGGTCCAGCTGACATTGCAGTTTGACTTGACCAGAATCCATGAAACAGAATAATTTTATTTATTTTTTTTAAATTTTTATTTATTTATTTATGTGTGTGTGTGTGTGTGTGTGTGTGTGTGTGTGTGTAGCCAGCTCAGCCCACCAGGGGGTGGGGCTGGCTGGCATGTGGTGCTGGGGGATTGAACCGCAGTCCCTGTGCTTTGCTAAGCTTGTTCTAAGTAGGTGCTTTAGACCACTGAGCCATCTCACTAGCCCCAGCACCAATAATTTTAAATGATATATTTTGCAAACAAGCCAACAGAATATTCGGACCACAATCAATAGAAATGCAGTATGTGCTCTCTTGAGGGGAAGGAAGGTTATTTCCTGGACTTAGGGTGCTGCACAGACCTGAAGCAGGGCTGTGGCTGGGCCGCAGGAGCCCTGCAATCAGGGCGCAGAGCTGGTGGTGATGGGGAGCCCTGCGGTGTGCCACGGGGCAGAAGGAGTGGTTGCCTGGGGATGGGTCATCTGAAGGGAGAGGGGACATGGTTGTCTAAACCTGCTGGTGCCAGAGTGGACCTCAGAGCTTGCATCTATGCTGGTGGATTGAGAGTGTCCACAGGATTAAGCATGTTTTGCTGGGAAGCAGCATCTGTGAAACGGATTTGGACTGCTTCTCTAATGGATGTAAGGTAGATGTCAAATGTCCCAAGAGTCCTGTAGCAGTATCTTAATTTGCTCACTGAGGAGTGAATGAGACCTCACTTGACAAAGAGCTTTCTTGTGGAAACTCTAGTTTCATGAAAGCAGAGCGCCCCAGGCCTCGGCATGGCTGCATTTCCATGGCAGTATTTGCACTGTGGAAGCTCCCAGCAGTCTCTCCTCAGGCGCAGACACTTCTCCTCTCATCTGAGAGATCCTCTAGTGATGCTCCAGGTCACATCGGTCTGAACATGTTCCAGCCCTGACCCTCAAATGATTGTATTTTTTTTCTGTCTTTTTTTTTTTAAATTAAATGTATATGGTATAGGGTCTCACTATGCAACTCAGACTCCTAGTGATCTGCCTGTTTTCAGGCTCCCCAGCACTGGGATTATAGGTGTGTGCCCTTAAGCCCAGACTCAGTCGCCTGCTCAGGGCGCGCAAGGTCAGGGCTGGCACGATACAGGCTGACTGTAGCGCTTGCCTAAGCAGGCGCTTAGTCCTCTGGGCTATCTCACCAGCCCTCCCCCCACCCCTTTTAATGTCTTTTTGAGACAGGTTTTCACCATGAAGCTCAAGCCGGCCTTGAACTCACTTCGTAGCCCAGGCTGGCTTGAACTCATGGTGATCCTTCTGCCTTTGCCTTCTGAGTATTGGGGTTATAGGTATGAGCCACAGAGCCCAGCTGTCCTGTTGACTTTTAACTTTTCCTGTTGGGTCTTTCATGTTCAGTCAGAGAGTGGCAACATTCCGGGTCCAGGCTGGGTCAAGTGCAGGGGCGAGCATCTCAAGGGCTCAAAGCTATCCTAGGCTGGGTGCTTGGCCCAAGAGACTCCGCCCCAGGATGGAGACCTAAACACGCTGTTGATGGACAGGAATACAATCACAGGGGAGTGCCAACAAGCTTGTGGTATCTTTTCACTCTGCTTTTTATGTTTTTCCAAAATACTTTATGTTTTAGCTGTGTGTGGTGGCATAAGCCTGCAATCCTAGCATGTGGGAGGCTGAAGCAGGAGGATCACAGGTTCAAGGCCAGCCTAGGCTATATAGCAAACCTTGTCTTTAAAAAAAAAAATCTGGGCTGGTGAGATGGCTCAGTGGTCTAAAGCACCTACTTAGAACAAGCTTAACAAAGCACAGGGACTGTGGTTCAATCCCCAGCACCACATGCCAGCCAGACCCGCCCCCTGGTGGCCTGAGCTGGCCACACACACACACACACACACACACACACACATATAAATAAAATTTTTTTAAAAATCTGTTTTTATTCTTAATCTTTACTTCCACTCCTTTTCACCTGTTCCCTAATGCATGTTAGTTAAAGTAAAAATAAACTAATAAGGGTGGCACAATCATTTAATTGTCCACTGCATGAACCTAGTTGCTGCTTATCAACCAAATGACAGTGAGAAAGCAGTTAACATGGGTTTTCAGATGCCCCAGTGATAACCCCAAGCCCGTTCCTCCTCGACAGTTGTGACGCTCCCTTATGGCACGAATCGCCTGTTTCTTCTTACCCCTCCGTTTTTCTTTGTTCCCTTGAGTGCCACTGGTTTTGCCCATGTGTGCACACTGCAGGGAATTTTCATTCCAAAGCATTGGTGCGCACAGATTCAAGTACATGCAGGGCATTTCCATGTAACTACCTGCTGATACTCGGGGTCTGTGTTGTAAAAATGATTGTCAGGGGCTGGGGGTGTCACCCCCTGTAGAGCACCTGCCAATCATGCACAGGGCCCTGGGGTCTGAAGCCAGCACCACAAAACCAAGCCCAAAGTACGTCACATGTCTAGGGTGGTGGCAGTGTCTTTGTAC